TTAATAGTATGCACAACACTATTTCATAACATTAAAAATGATAAACAACTTCATTTATAACGCATTTGAATACAATTCTCTACTAATATCCGTGTTTTGATTAGTTTTCATTTAGTTTATTACATATATACTTACATATATATTACATGGATTTAGTTATTGAATATACATAAATATAGTTGAACTTAGAAAAAAACTTTGTTGAAAAAAAAATTTTTTTTAATCCACTTATTTTAAATATGTATCAAAGTTATATTTTATCTAATTATTCTACTGTAGCAATGTTCAAATACAGAATTAATGTAATATGTGCAACTTTATAATCCGTTTTGTTAAACTAACGCAGTTTCCCATGAAATGATGAAAATTAATTGGCGGGTTGATTGTTTTGGAAACGTTATTTCATGGTCCCTGAAGAAGCGGCTTAAAATAATTTATAAATTCATTATAACATTAGCTGTTGCCTGCGGTTTTACACGTGTAGTGTAGTATTTCCCCTTTAAGTTGCAATTTTTAAGAACTCTTTTTTAGTGGATGCTTACGTAATAAAATTAACCTATACTCCAAATTTGAACTTTCTAGACAGTAGTTTTGTTTATGTGTTAATAGTCAGTCAAGATAAATGATTTTATAAGTTCTACTTATATAAAAGTAAATATTTTCAATTGTAAAAAAACACGTTTATTGGAAAATACAAAAAATTCAATATTTTCTACTTTTAAAGTTGTCTGTATAACTTTTGTTCTCTACGATATATCGACTAAATCAACTAACTACTATACTATAGGTACATATTTTCCAGTTTGTAACAAATTGTAAATGTAAAAGGGTTTATGACAATTTGGAAATATAAAAGAAATTGTTCAGAAAAATGTTCTCCTTTTAAGTGGTATATTTTGAAAACGATAAAATAAATATTTAATTAATTGTGTCTAAAAAACACAATTTCAAAAGAAAAAAATGTTATTAACTTCGACAATGTTTTCACAAAAAATAAATCCCATACAAACTTTGCCACCCTCTTTTTATCCTTATATTCTAAGAAATTATTTAATAAATTTGCTTACAATATAAAATCAATAATCCAAATTTCAAATATCTATTTTTAGCGTTTCGGGTTAAGTAAAAATGATTTAGTAAATTAATATGTTTTATATTTAGGTATTCACTAACTGTGTTTGCGATTTGATCCAGGTCTTTATTTGATTGACTGGGATTTAAACTAGTGTATGTCCTTCTTCAAGTGAAATCGAATCTCTCGTAAATGTCGTTACGATTTGTCAAGACTTTTACAGTAACAATCTCACTTGTATTGTACACTAGCTGTTTTTCGCGGCTTTACTTACGTGAATCAATACTTACTTGATGCATGAGAATCAAGTTAAGTTAGAATATAATGTATGTATCAAATTCCATTCAAATCCGTTTAGATGTTTAAACATGATTGAGTGACAAATATTTAAGCATCTTTTCAAAATGTTAAAAACTTAAACTTATTAAGTTTTCTCCAATATATTTATTAATATAAGTTATTGTATGTTATATATTTATTTATATAATGTCCAACAATTAGTATGTATTTGAATATGTGTTTCACTAGCAGAACACTTAAAAATGCTAACATATTCGATTTCACCTGTACACTCGTAGTTAAAAAAGTTTTATAACAACATATTAAGAGTAATTTTTTTAAATTAATAATTTAATTTTTAAATATAAATAGAGATTTATTAATAAAAGGTAAATGTTCTAATAGATGTTCTAGAAATATAAAACCTAAACTATTACGTTAAACACAACGCGGAGGTTCCTTAAACGCCTTCCACGAAGTTGGCACCGTAATTATTTCTTACTAACATCAAGTTAGTGGTTGACACACGAGGCGCTTCGCTTGGCTCCAACTTAACTTCTTCTGCCGACGACAGGTAAGATTAAACACGATTTGCAAAACAGTGTAATTTCATTTAGTTGTCTCTTGTGAAACTCTATGACGGTCTGATGAGTAACTTTATTATCTGGGGAGTTATAGAAATTACTTTGGGCAACCGTCGGGAAAATTAAGTCGAGTCCACACAAGCGGAGAGAATTAATGCGATCGCGAATATACTAAGATAATATGAAATGGGTTCAGTTATATAAATATGAATAACTTATATGTTGCCAGCATTAAATTGATTGCTGTTGTTAATTTACATTTCATCACAGTTACCTACGTGTGCCATTAGCGATAATATTATTAGTTAAAACAAAAATCATATAGCACTGTTTTTCTTATTCGTTATATTTATAATTTCTAATAGTTTTTGTAAGTTTATACAAGCACATTGAGGTATTTAAAAAGGAAAATGTTCTAGATTCGTTGTTTTTTTTTTTCGACAGCTTCATTTCTCAATCAATTTTGGTATGTCTTTATGTTTTTTACTTCCGTTTACTCGTAAAGTCAATACTAGAGTACATGTGTTTAAATTTTTAAAATTCTTTTTTTTAATTGTAAATTTGTCCTTATATCGTTCTGATCAATATTTATTAATTAATAATAGTTTGCCGTGATTTGAATTCTTGTTATTGTTTTTTTTTAGTTTTTATTTTAAAAGGTATTATATTTTAATAAAAGCAACTTAAAAAATATATTTTTTATGGAACAAAAGCGTTGTGTGTAGGTATCTAGTCGATTTTAAATACTTCGATAAAAGGAAATACTATTAAAAAACCTAAAACTTTGGATGGAAATAAACACTGCGATATGAAAACGGCTGCGATACCTTTGTCATTAGTATTTTGTTTACAATAACGGTAAACAGTTGTCAAAAACCACTGAATACCCCATCAGGGATTACAGTCATGAATTTAATATTTCATACTTTAACTCCAGTAGTTTAAAGTGTTCGTTGATAGATGTGTTAGTCTGTCAATTAAGTCTTTTTATCTGAAGAAACTAAATAAAAAAATAAAAAATTATACAACTTAGAATGGCAAATAAGCTGACGGTCCACCTGATGGAACATGATAACCGTCGCCTATAGACATGAGCAGTAACGTGGACATAACAGAGTATACTGTTTCGCCCATGATACCCCCCATGCGTTGCCATTCCTGAGGACTCAGGTGTTATTCCTCTGTACCCAATAAATTCACCCCATATCCCACCCTTCAAACCGAAACACAGCCATGCAAACACAGCTGCTTCACGGTTGAAACACGAATGGGACAGAGGTTAATTAAAAATCTACTGGATTTTCTTATAATCATCACTATTTTTATATCAGATCTGTTTCATAATTCAAAAGATAATGCATAATTCGCAAGGTGGCTAAGGTTCGCTTTGAATTGAGTTGAAACTTAGTTAGAATTATACGAAGTTTATAATATTAGAATTAATTTCGGAAAATGTTTGCATAACTCAAGTATAAATGTGGCGTGATATAATGGAATTAAATTTATTATAGAGGCTTATAAATGTGCTTGTTTATAAGAGAAAAAGTTTAATCTGATAATACTGAAACAAATTATTCCAAAAAATTGACGAAAAAATTTGCTATTCTAAGTCTCATAAAAATATATCTACTAAGAAATAAGCACAGACACAAATGTTGCTTGCGGTTTTTATTTATACTATTAAAGGTGATATGAAAATACGAGTATAAACTCAAATGTCCCTCAAGTCCCAATAATAGGCCAGCGATGCACAAGCAACTCCTCTCGTGTTACGGGTATACTCGTACATGGGCGAAGGGAGGCGTTTCTTATCAGATGAACCATCTACTTATTTGCTTCCCTAACAATAAAAAAAAGCAACATCATCACTATCTTACAGAATTCTCTAAATATTATTTTTGACTACTTTTTAATCACTTATGATATGATAAAAGTTTAGGATAAAAGATATTTTAATAGAAGCCAGACTTTATATAAAAGTCGTCTACATGGATACCTTAGTCACAAATGCGTTTTTGCTGTGAAGCAGTCGTACTTGTATGCGAGGATAGGAGTATTATTTTATTATTATATAAGCTGTTAGTGGTCCACTGCTGAACATAGTCCTCATCCATTAGCGAAGGTTTTGTCAGTAATTGCAATGCTTGGGGCTTTTAAAACATCACCAAAGCCTAATTGCGATTGCCAACTGGGGCACTCGCCTGGGGTCTCAACCATTAAGTTCCCTCAGTCGTCTCTTACGACAACCATAAGAGAGAAAAGGGTGGCTTATCTATATCAGAACCACAGGACATGGCATGAATGATGGGATATGGCAGTAAAATTACAGGGTATAACACCATAGTTCTCAGGAATAGCAACGCATGAGTAGTGCCATGGGCATATTTATATCAGCATTATGAACATCATAGAATACACGGTTATTATCTTCCATCAGGTTCCGTCTGCTTGTTTGCAATTCTAAATAATTTGAGAAAAACCTATTGACCTATATACTATGGTGTGATTGACATTTTCATCTCCGTAGTTCCCAGTTTATATAAGAGTAAGTGACATTTGAAATGATGTTGGTTTTCTGAGTAAAGAGTAAAATTCAGTTATATTTAGAAGTGCCGAAATATCGACGGTCCCTAAGTAATATCCCATAAACTCGTATGTTGTAAGAGCAGTTTGAAAGTTTGAATATAGGTGTATACATATATATATATATATATATATATATATATGTATACTCTCTCTATAGATTCGTAAATAATTATTATTATTGCGTGTGTCCATGTAGGAAAAGAAAATAATTTTTTTGTCGACTTTATATAAAATATTGTATTTGTCTACATATACAAAAAATTAACATGTAACATTAACATATAAAAATGTATTTTAAAAATATGTAAATGACAGTAAAACTTGAATCTAAATCCATTTAGCAGTTTCCATTAAGTGGTTTAGCAGAAATAAACAGAGAAAATAAATTGACACGTGCAACAATTTTGTTTTATACTACATGTAAATAATAAATTAATGATAGAACATTATCATGATTATAATAACAGTATTTGTTACAGCGAAACTGGACGGGGTGAAGACATACATGCGCATGCGCCGGGTGCCAACTCACTTGCAAGTAAAGGTGATCAAGTGGTTCGATTACCTGTGGCTCACGCAGAAATGTTCCGATGAAGAAAAGGCGGTCTCCTGCTTACCTGATAAACTGAAAGCGGAGATTGCTATTAATGTCCACTTGGATACTTTAAAAAGGTACATTGAATGTTATTCGTAATATTTTTCTATATTTAAGAGATTCCTATTGTAGGGGCAGTTAATTCATGAATTGTCTTTCATTCATTCTTAACTTTCAATTCATTTCTTAACTTCCCTATACGACACAGTACCTATTATTTCTTTTTTTTATACCACTGTGGTGGCAAACAAGCATACGGCTCACCTGATGGTAAGTGGTTATTGTTGTTACCTGGTTTTATTCTAATTATGTAATAATTTTTTAGACTTTTCTTTCTCTTCTATCTTTCCTTTTAAGATATTCTTTATGATATCATTATGTTATTTTTGCAATGGACTCACTCTCACCTTTATTTCTCTTAATACAAATTGATAAAAATTTGGGTTTTGATCAGAATATATATATGTATACATAAAAAAAGAACTGTCAACTATATACGCGCTAAGTAGTCTGGAACATATTTATTAATATAATTTTGTTATAAAATTGGGGATATTTTTGTATTTCATCATCTAGTAAATCATTAGTACGTATTAAATAATTTTAAAATTAATTTACTTAAGCGTAATGGTGATTTTTATCATTCAACTTTCAGTGAGATTTTTATTTTAGTTCTATAGAAAAATTTCTCATTTTATTCAATACGACGAAGTGAGAATATTTAAAATAAGCTGTTCATAAATACGAGATGAGAATACGTAAGGTTTGTATAATATTATAACAATGTTTTACATAGCTTTACAGAGCGTAACCCCACAATCACTCTCACATTCAACTTTGCATAATGTTATTCGACCGAGGAAAATTATTTTACTTCTGATATAATTATGTAATACTAGCTTTAGCCCGTGATTTTGTATGTATAGAAATTGGAAATAAACCACTTCTAGGTGGTATATCAAGATATATATATATATACTAGATTTTAGGTTAGAATTTCATGAATATAACTATGAGAACCGCATTAAATTTGGTACAGTAGTTTTTGCTTGATGTTGGAACAAACATATAAATTTTTCTTAAATATATTCTATTACTGATCCGCCCGAGCTATGTACGAGAAGATAGATACAAAGATAAATTAGCTTTAATAGGGAAATTTTTTAAACCTTGGGTTACATTATTGTAATTTTCATAGGGCACTTTGATTTCACAATACATTTTGATCAATACATATTATTTCGAAAATAATATGTTTTGATAATGTAGTGTTCTATGGATGAATTAATGAAGTAATTATCAGTAATGAAGTAATTTTTGTGTTTATTCATTACAAGCAAAGAAACAGACATATAATATATCAAATATTTCTTCTTTATAATATTAGTATAGATACATGTATATGGTTTTTTAATTGTGTACAAATATATTTATCAAAATTATTGATAAATTTCTTATCATTACCATTATGTAAAAAATTATCAACAATAACGGATAAACATTGCTATGTTGGACATGGGTCTCTTCCCATAGGGATTCTCCACATTACTATGCTGACTGGGCGACTTAATATATTGTTTTAATCTGAGTTTATTTATGCACCCAGGTATTATGTTTTGTTCATTTATTTACCTCATAGTTTACATTGAATTTTATTCACACACACTTAGCTAACGAATTTTAATCCAATATAAATACTTAATGATTGCGTTTCATAATAAACTAGCACATAAACTAGTTACTTTGATTTGAAACGGAACTACTGAACCGTTTTTGATAAAATTCCTATGGAAAAATTATGTCTGTAAGTATATCTTTTCAAATAAAAAAAGAATTTTCCAAATCAGTTTAGAACTGACAAAGTTATGAGGTAACAAACATAAAAAATATAACTGAATTGAGAATCTCCTTTTATTTAAAGTCAGATGACAATAATAAGTGTGACTTTATCTCAATAAATGATATTATTTGTGTGGGTTCAAAATAATCAAATATAGGTACAAACGCTTGGCAGTATTCTAAGAAAATCGATTAACAAAAAAGAAAAAATGTTTACAAAATATCTCTCACTCCTTTGTTTGTGAGGAACCTAGTTTGAAGATAACAAGATATTTCTTATTGCCACATTGGATCCATTAGCTGTGCAAAAAGCTACATTAAAAATACCAAAGGCAAAACAACAAAACAAGTAACGGCGTTTTGCATACAATAACCTTCATTCTCGAATATACAGTATGGCATTTTTCCTTTACGATATTATTAAAAGATAACCCGAAATATCAAGATGGCGACTTTTGTGATAGTGTACACAATACAGCCACATTAATGCAGCATAGCAGTTCGAGCTTAATATCCCGTGTTGTATAATTAAAAAGAGAAACATTCGCTTTTTACGTCCATGAATTATGCAAAAGTGTTCGTTTATACGATCCGTAAATTTCTGTCGCCAAATGGCTCTTCCGAGCTTTCTGTTTTTAGCTGAATTCAGTATACGCAGTTCAGAATATGTGTACACGTTGTATTATGATTATCGAAGAACATTTTTGGTCGCATATGGGTATCATCCCCGCTGAATATTTTGTTACGTATATTATAACATTATGTCAATTTGCAGGGTGGAGATCTTCCAAAACACGGAAGCGGGATTTCTGTGCGAGTTGGTTTTAAGACTTCGGCCTGTCCTTTTTTCGCCAGGCGATTATATCTGCAGAAAAGGTTTGTAATACTACGATTACGAAGTCTTATATTATAAAGATTTATATGACTTTGATACATAAATATTCGACATGTATTTGAAAATTAAAGTATATATAGAATTCGGTGCCTTTTAGTTACATAAAAAGTAAGTTTTCATAAATGAAAGAGTAAAATTAAAAAAGGGAATATAAAAATCCCCAGTACATGAGACCCCTCAGGCTACGGGGCCGTGGACGGTAGTCCACTTCGTCTTATGTTAGTAATTCTACTAGAGGTGCATGAGTATTATAGTAACTAACTTTGGTGTAATGTATAAAGCATTCAGGCTTTAAAAGTATTTATAAATTCGGGAAACTATATTTATTCATACAATATTATGAACATGAGCTTATTGTTCTCAGGCGAAGTTGGCAAGGAAATGTACATAGTGAACCGAGGAAAACTGCAGGTGGTAGGCGATAACGGCAAGACGGTGCTAGCAACACTCAAGGCGGGTTCTTATTTTGGCGAAATTTCCATTCTGAACATGGGCACGGCAGGTAAACAACTTGGTAAATATCGCCACGGCCCGAGACGCCACGCCATTATTACTATTTTATTACTATCTTGTAAAGTTTCGATAAGCAAACGTTTCGAGGAGACGCTGCAATCAGGCCGAGGGAGCGGCCACGACGCTAACAACAGGTTTTGGGACATCATTCTCGATCGCCGTCGTCACTGCTTCGTGATCATGTTGTTGATATTTTACTATGACTTGTTTCTAACAGACACTCTACAACAACATGGCCACCCACTCGCGGTAACGTCGCTTTGTTTAAAATTAATAGGGAATGCCTTTACATTTTAATTGATTTCCTTATTACGATATTTCGCATTTGTGGCTATTGTTTCAATTATTTCTGTTTATAATTGTATTTTTGGATGAAATTTTGACATTTCAACAAGAAGTAATCATAGCTACACGGTAAGCTGTATCATTGGTATTATTTGACTTTCGATTTTATTGGCTTCTTGTTAGATATCCTCTTCCAGGATTTTGTAGCGTCTAGTGTCTTGTGTTTCGTTCTCGTCTTATGTTCTCCTTTGGTTGTATTGAAGGCAGTGTCCCCGATCGCTTTGCATCCTCCCCGATTACCTCATTTTATATTTGGCGTGACCTCTTGGTGCATGAAACCCTATTATTATTAAGTGTACTATTTACCTATTTGATTCAAGATCTGTCATCGTACTATCGGTTCAGTTCCAAGGAATTATTTTTATTTTGATCTAACTTAATGCGCATTTAATCTTGTAGAACTGCTTCGTTCTTTACGAAATCAAAATAATTTATACTTACTAATTTTATGTCTATTTTAAACGCTTTGTCTTTGTAATGAAGCACATATTAAACACTCAATAGAAATGGCTTCTTATGGTTATTTTGATATCCATTATTATTTTTAAATTACGACGTGATTTGGCTCCGGACTGGTATACGTAATCCACCCTGCTGTCTAAATTAAGGTAGCCTTAATTAATCTTTCTCCTAAATCAGCTTAATCTACATCTCCTACTAATCTTGTAACATAAATACCTCCCATATGTGTGCCCTGCCACCGGTGTTTTCGGTCTTCCTTCTTAATATGCTTATGATCTTTTCTGGCTTAGAATAATTTTAAAAGTTACAACTAAAGTTTGAATAATTCAATAAGAAATTGAGAAATTTGATTAAGAAACATAATGAGAAGCCAGAAGAGTTTATAAGCGTAGTGGGCCGAACACCGGTTGGCACGGAGTGTGTGTATGACACGTCGACAGGAAACCGGCGGACAGCATCGGTGCGGTCCGTCGGCTATTCGGATCTGTTCGTGCTCAGCAAGAAGGACATGTGGGACGTGCTCAAAGAGTACCCCGCAGCGAGGGTCCGCCTAGAGGCTATTGCCGTCAAGAGACTTGAGAAGTATAAGAAAGCACCGCTTGAAAAAGGTACAGCAGTTATTATTTGTCTGCACATGTAATTGCAGTTGGTGAGACACTGTAATTATTAAATTAAATAAATAAATAATAAAATTACGTTGTAATTTTACGACGTATTCTGTATTTAGTACAATGATGATTATACAAATGGCATTTATTTATTTATTTGTTAATTAGTTGTACTGTACTAAAATACACACTAAAATACAATGTTACCATTCCTTTTCCAGGATGTTGTAAGAGATTATTAAGGGAACTACAATATACGTACTAGGTCTAGAGAAGGTTAAAGTTAGGCTAAGCTAAGCTAAATAACCTGTCTGGTATGTGTATACTATTTTCTTATAAGAAGAGACTTGCACTCAGCAATAGACGTCCATTGGTTATTATTGATAGGTGGTATTAAAGAAAACAGAATTTAGTAGTCTATATTTATAGTAGTATTGTCTCAGTCTGGATTAGTTTTTGCCAAGTCCGTGTTACTGCCGTGAAGCAGCTGTCCTTACATGGTTGTGCTTTGGTTTGAAGTATGAGATATGGCAGTGAAATCACAGGGCACAGAGGCATATTAGCACCAAAAGCCATAGCAATAGCAACGCATGAGCAGTACCATGGGCACAGCAATGATATGTATGCTGCTGTTCATATTAGGTGACGCTTACCACTTTCCATCAGGGCATATTTATCTTTATAAGTATTGTACAACCGTGTAGGTCCCAGCATAGAAAAGACCGCCCCTTCCTTTCGCTTGTCTGTCATAAGAGGCGATCAAGGGAGCTTATGATAATGAGATGGGCAGTAGCGTCCCTCTTAAAATAATACTAGCAGCAAAACCCCCCTTTTGGGGAAGGATATGTTCAGCAGCGGACAGTTAACGACTGATATAATAAATATTACATATCAATCAGTTTATTATAAAAAGTCATTTGCCCTAGTCATATCAGTCACATGTGGTCGTCGCCGGCCGATAGAAGGGTTATGCAAACAAACCGTGACACACGAATATGAGGTAATGTTTGCTGATACGATTGCAGTTGCGATGGGTCGCTGCCAATCTACGCCCGGGCTCGTAGAGACGAGCGGGCGCGTGCCTATAGAGGAGATGCAGCTCCCACCCGCACCGGCGCCACTGCCGATGCACCCTTCACACCCGCCTTCCTACCGGGACCAGCTTTATAGGTAATGCGTCTCTTTTAAGAAGGATATTATTCAAATATATGGGATCAGGATCAAGATTACTTTGGGTAATTGGCAAATGTATCTACCAATAGATAAATTTTCGCTACTATATACATGACATAAAAGAGGCAGTAATATTCAATGTCAAAATTGCTAAAATTAACTAAAGCTTATTTATTTAAACTATGATTGTTTTAGGCTTTAAAATGATAAAAAATGCAGTCGTGCGTAGCACGAAGTCGTAGCACACATGCTACGGCTTTGTATAAAACTATATTCAAATGAACAAGAGAATAATGAATATATTGTTATGTTTGTAGAATTTTCAATACATGACAATAACTGAAAGTGTTCTCTCTGAATTATTATTAAAGTTTACAGTAGAACATTTCATTGAATTAAGTATTTCAATAGCATTACCAGCTATTTAATGTACATAAAGTAAAATAACATCAAAATAAATTCCAAATAGGTAGGATAAACAAAATAGTCTATAACCTATTTGCTTTCAGTTCGTCAGTAAGTCCTCTTCGTGTAGCATCCCCTGTAGCGTCGTGTGCATCTAGTGCCCGCAGTAGCGCGGCAGGCGGTGGCAGCGTGGCTGCCGTCAGCATGGCGCCTAGAGTACTCCTCGACTCACACGATGCCCTCGAGTGCGAGATCAAGCGATTGCGTGAGCGATTGTACACTGTCGAAACGGAGAATGCCGCAATGTCCGCTAAGCTCAGTCAACAGCAGTGGGAAGTTGATCAGAGGTAATTAACTTTTAGTAACGTTTTAAATTATGAACAATATATTTTAAAAATATATGCGCTTTGCACGCTCTCTACAATCACGTTTCTTCACGCATTGACCGCGCATCGCCACTTTACTCGCGCATATTACTCTCTGCCGTAGAGGCAATGCACGAAAAGTACAATGTAAAGGAACACGGTCCAGTGTGTGAAGTACCTAACATATTAACATAAGTGACGTATTTTTTGTATGATATCCCATATGATGAGAAATGAACATATGGTGTACTGAATTCTTACAAATTATTTCAAATGTCTGCTAATAATAAATACATTAATAAGTTGTAAAATTGATGCAGGCTACAAGAAATTGAAATGCAGATCTGTGGGGGCAGTTCACTGAGCTCGCAGGAGGAGAATGAGCGGAACCGCGAGAGCATCATTTAACAGCGCGCCTCACCCGAGCCCTCGCGGCCGCTGCCTTCCTTGCCCGTGCTGCGCTCCTCAGCTGTCTATTGAAACCCCCAGCAACCTGCAGCCCACCGGCCGCTCAGGCCTTAGCCGACCACTTGTGTTTTCCCCACTTTAGTGACCTATGTGAACTTTGAATGTACAATCAAACGTAGTGTTTTTATGATGAATAATATTATTATGGAATATTTAAATACGAATTAACTTTATCAAATTTATATATACGTAGTATATACGACTCGCTAATATTTGACGAGTGCCGTGGAGTGAGATTTTGCCAAGACAATATTATCTTAAAATTAAATCGTTTAGATACATCGAGGAGTGTGGAGTGCGTGATGTGCGTGATCGCGCGACGTGTCGGTGCGCGTGCGCGTACTTTCGATAATCAGTTGATAAGTTCGCGCGTACCTTGTCCTAAAGGGCGTCTATTTGGTTAATTCCTTAGCGGCTGTATGTTGTGCACACCTCATGTCTAGATGTTTTACCCGCGATGGTTTCGTATAATGACCGTGTTTACATCAGTTAATTTTTTACACTTGTTACATTGTTTTTTGTTTCGGTATGTTGTAGCGAAATTATTCTTATTTATTGAGGTTTGTGTACAAAAATTATCCTATATTGTGTAATCACTAAATAAAACTATGTGCCAAATAAGTGGCCAAAGTGAATGTGTTAAGGATAAGATTTTTGCGTTAACTCATGAATAGAGGAATGGATGTGTTCCTATCCATTCTATTTGAGCTTTAATTATAATAAAATCCAGGAAGACTTGATCACGTTATAGTTATGTTTCGGTTGATCCTTTGTTATGATTAAAACAGTTTAGGGTATAGTTCTTTCTTCGTCAATAAATTTGGTATAATCTATGTATATTCGTAAACTATAACATTCTGAAACAGTTTTGCCCATTGTAATGACATAAATCGACCATAGTATGTTGTAACTTGTTATATAAAATGAATTATTACCTTTGTATTAAGGAACGTAGCTTAAAACTGATACTTAAGTCAGTTTTGGTAATTTAAAAATCACTACTGCCAAATAAGATATAAGTAGATAAAACAAAATGTTTTAATGTAAAGATATTACCAAAGAATGTTTTGTACTTAATATCCTTTCTATTCACCTAAAGTTCGTTTAAGAGATCGTTAAGTGACATTCATGTGTCTACATAAGTGAATTTTATTGTTGAAGCTTCGGAATTAATTTGTTTGAATCATTTATTGTGCTATATTAATATTATTATATATATGACAAAGTCAAAGTACCAAAACGTGAGAACCTAAGTGAATTCAACAGTAAGTAAATTGTAAATACTTATTCTGGTATATCTATGATACGTGTTTATAAGCTGTTTTAATTGATATGACATTGTTTTGAAAGCCACGAGTTAACCGGTATGAAGTGTTGATGGATATAGGAAAAGCGGCGAGGACATGACTTTTGTTTTTATTATCTACAAATAAGACACGTGTTTATGTTTATGTATGCCACTGTATAATTAATATAAATGGTAACAGTGTCGATTTTAGGCCAATTGTTGTATAAATCGTTTAAGTTAAGTCGTAAAAGCTTTAGAGTAGAATATTATTTTACTCGAATATGTATAAATATACAAATGTTTTTTTTTTTCCTGGTTAACTTGTTTGCAAAAATAAAATCAGAAGCAAAATTATTTCTCCGCTAATAATAGTATCAAAATTCTAAGTTCTATATGAAATTTCTACTTAACTTTATTAAAACATTTAGCCTAGAATTTATCACAGAGGTACGGCATGTGTGTATCGTTACGCCGCCCCCACACCGCGGCGGTGGAACCATTGTCAAGTTTGTACTTACTCTATTACCAAAATTGCTGAATCTACATACTGTGACTTTGTAAAGCCGCAAATATACTATTGGGTATAATTCGGCGCGTATTTAGTATCTTGATAGTATATTTACATTTAAAATGTGCTTAAGTTGCGGATATGACTTTGGATCGTTCTTGGACGATTGGACGTCCGACGAGGATCTGACGGATTAAATGACACACATACTTGCAAAACAACCAAAGAGAGAGAAATGGTCGAAACACCATGCACACTTTTCAGTCGCGTCCATCATCCGCGACTGATATCCTATAGTACTCGTATGTTTGCGGCTTAATCGTGTGGTTGCGTGCCGCGGTCTGCCGCGATTCCGCGATGTAGAGCGCGACGCCGTATCGCTGTATTAAGTATTTTGGAATAATAAATTATGTTGCAACTTATTCAAAAGATACGTTTTTAAATCGACACTGTATCTACATATATGTAATATATTCTATATACTTAATAAATCTCAATCTGTCACGTAAGTAAAAATATATATATAATCCGTACTACTTCAGTTCGTCCAACGACTCAGTTTTATCACACTAATAAACGCCCGAAAATGTAATAGATAGGCGATAAAATTTTTAACTGTAAATAAAATATTTATTTATTGTTATATATTCCAGAAATTTTTCTTCTTACATATTTCTCGATTATAAAATGGTAAGAGAGATGCATTATGCAATTGAATATTAAACGAAAATGCAAGTGCTTTTTATCATAATAACTATGTAGGTATATGATTCTGAGAACATTGTGCGGGCTCAGCAACAAAAAGGACTTAGTTGATATCCTTAAAGGTAAAAAAATACAAGATCGTTATATTGAAGCTCTGCATCATACAGCTTTTGTTTCTAATTGAAATAGATATTAACATGAAATCAAAATTAGAAGTTAGTTTTTTTTTTATGAGTACTCCAGTAACGAAACTGAACATGTTCCCAAAGAAATAGGGGGCCTTTTAGAGCCTTCTATATTAACGCAACATATCTAGTTATCAAATTTTTTTAATGGTTTTCAAACCCTTTGGGAAAAAGTTCAGATTGACGATTTAGAAAATACTCCCTTAACATGCACTTTGATTTTATCTTGTAGTACCTACTTACTCGGTACTGACTATTTTTATATAATATTCACAAAAAAAGAAAATATTAATTACAAATAAATGACATGTCATATTAAAATATAATACTAATACAATTTAAAGTGCTTAATATTGTAAGTCTTTTTTATGTCTAAGAAAAAATTGGATTTGAAAGAAACCTATAAGTATTTTCATTTACCGAATGAGCCTGAGTCACTGCTGTTGCTGGCCCGTATAAAAAGAACAAACTATAATTCTGTTTGTAAGTATTGTTACTTTACCTTCACGAGAATCAGACGTTTATTAAATTTGGCGCGTAAGTACCACTGAGAGATTGGACCGTGGTTCGGTAATTTTCTGCAGTAACCGGCTTGTGCATCTAAATTGGAAATTCAATTATGTATCGCACACGATTCATTTTATTGTTAATAAAAAGATTAATATAATAATAATATTGTTTTTTATTTTTTGAATCCTAAAGTTTGTTTGCTTTGCAACAAGTACAAAATTTCTACATAGTTAAGATTTTGCCTATAATAAAACTTCGTAATTTGTATGAGATATTTATTGCATAACTTTTAAAAGAAAACCATCATAATCGGTTCAGAATTGAAGAAGATATCGGTCAATATAGGTACCTATATACAGAAAACCAGTAAAATACCTACCGACGCGTCAATTTGTGGAAATGATACTTCTGTTATATTACTTTCCTGACGAAACTTAATTAACGTAAACACTTTTCATGAAAATGAACGTTCCACCTACTTTGTTGTAATCTATAATTTGTATTCAGTAGAAAGATTTTATGCGGATATTAAAATGTTTTTCACGTACAAAGTTGGATGTTTAACGAAATCGTAGAATTAAACACAAGTTTTAAAGTTGTAACGTATAAACTCCAGACTTATTTGTGAATGATTGAGGGCTATCTCATAACACTAAATCCGTTTTATATTGTATTAAATACCTTGCAAAGTCGTCTTAGTACTTTGTAAGTTTATAAGGATTTCTGTGCTCTTTTAAGTATTATTACTTGGGTCTGGATGTTCTTAAATTTTTTAATGTGTGATAATGGAATAGTAACCCCGCTTTTTTATGCGTGAAAATGGTATGGTAACCCCGCCTGCGCTAACGGGATACACTGGCGGAGCACCAGTGAAGGGTGATAGGTGAGAATGAAAACAGGCCAGTTAGCCCGTCATGATGAATTCATCAGGAATTAACCATGATAGTTTCCAGGGAGAACCACGAGTAGGTCGACCTTGTTGAGTATATTGCTAGCAATGGGCTTCTCAGTCTCCATTACTAAAAATCCCTTTCCCCCCAGTAACCCCTGGCGAGGCACTAGTGAGGATGAAAGTAGGTCAGGTGGCCTATGGGGACGAATTCAAAAAGAATTAACCAAGATGGTTTCTAGAGGGAACCGCATAGAGGTCAACCTGACAGAGGAGTATATTGTTAGCAATGGGGTTGTCAGATCCTCATTACTAACAATCCCTTTCCTTCGGGTGTTCTTATTAGGTACCGTCATTATTAATGGCAATACATAATATTAGGCATATATATATATATATATATATATATATATATATATATATAGCTTTCATTATTATTGTCGTAAGTCAGATACAGACTGTTCTTTTTTTTTTAATTTTAATTCATTTGCCAGTTTTTGGCAATAGATTTTTTTTTTCTAGAAAAAAGTTATTTTTTTTAAGATTAGAGTTTTAATGAATACTGACATCAGTTTTAGGAATGGGTTACGGTAATTAAGAGAGATACTCGAACATTATCTATCTATATATCTGTAATTATATACTGAAATATAGATAGATATATACAAATTTAAAAGTATTTTCGACTGTTAGTTTCGACTGTATTTTAGTGTGCTCTCTTTTTCTGAGTCGATTTGCGTTTATATTTGAGTTTTTAAGAGAACCCCATTTTTAATTTTGTCACAGTATAAATTGATTATTTTAAGTACAAATGCTTAATAACATTGGTGTTAAAATTTCATAAGTAGAACTGTCTTACTTAAATTTCTAAAACAAAATAAATTAATGTATTAATATCACGTTTGTAATCAGAGATGAAATACCTAGTCAAGCAAATGCAGTTTTCAAATTAACGTGCAATATATACTCGTGTAAACGTAAAAATTTGTTCATTTATTTGTTTGCGTTTCAACCAATCATAATGAAATGTGCATACATGTACTAATTGGGATGGAGAAGTATATAGGCTACTTTTTATCTCGGTCACTAAATATATACCCACCATTCGAACGAAGTCGTTAGTAAAAACTAGTATCTAACATTTAATATAATTATACCAAATTTCTATATTATTTTAACATTAAATATCTTAGATACTTCTAAGGTAATTAATTTTAAATATTTTTCCATTGTTTTAATAAATAGTAGGTTAATTAAAACAATTAGTTAGGTTTTGATGAATTAAAATTCCAAGAAGAGAATACTTGTAAAAGTGTGGAACCAAACTTTTCGAATCAATACGACTCGATACGACTTAGTCTTACGACAGGACACGACACGAGGCAAATTGGATCTGGTGTAAGCGGCCAGGGTACCTATTAACCTTGCAAAGTTGATTTTTTGTAAAAGGAAAATTGTGTGACAGCAAAAAATGTTTTAGCTCCCCAAAGCGAGAGTAATGAAACCTTTGGTCATTGGAGGGCGTCCCGGTCAACTCACGGTTAATTGAATTTTTATGGATCACTCTCAGAGAAATCACATGGTATTCGACCCCTTTTTGGATTAAAGATGTGAAGTATTTTTACGAGTATTATCGTATTCTATTACGTTCTATATTTTTGTGTATACAAACAAATAGATAGAGATAGATAGAATCCAACTAATTAATGCATAAAATAGTTACATACATATATATCTATCTATATTTTCTCGCAAACAAGAAAATGTTTTCGAAAGATTACCAGAAAAAATTATACTCTAACATAGATTTATTCATCTATTCAGATTAAATCGCTATGATCAATCAAAGCAAGCCCCTAGCGTATGCAGTTGTAGCGAAAATAAAATTATCCTAATGATATATTTAGCTAGCAGATAAAAAGAGCAACATTTATTACCTACCATTTTTTAAATTCCCAACGCCAGTGGGTCCTTTTTCATGATGAAGATAAAATGGAAAATCAGCCGGGAAAACTTATCTTGAGAACTCAAGGGACTCGTTTGGCATCTATCGAAAGTAAAAGCTTGACATTTTTGATATCCAAGTAGCAAGAATATTCTAGGAAACGTTAAGTTTGATTATATATTTTTTATATATAGGTTCGGCACCTATAATTTCATAAAGATACGTAATTTAAAAAGGCTAATGATTTACGACGGAAATAAAATATGTAAATTTTGGTGTATTTTTTGTCTAGGTATTAAACATATTCCCGCTACTTTATAAATGTAGTAAAGAAAAAATGAATGAATGAATGAGTATACTTTATTTGCATTATACAATATAGGAAATAAACAAGACAATTTACAAACATAACGATACAATTGTATAGGTACAGGAAGGTGGTCTTATTGCTGAGAGCAATCTTTTCAAGACAACCTTAAGGTCTTTATTTTAACTTAGAACACCAAACAAGCTGAGAACCTATATTCACTAACATCATGACTAAATTTTATACTTATAATTTTTGTTATTATAATCAACCTAAAATTATATTAGACTATAAAATAAAAAGTCACGTTCGAAATTCAATTTAAAAGTTTTTTTACGAATCTGAAAGCATTATTGGGTAAACAATAAAAAGTCCCTAACGCACGTCGATGGACGTGGGTCAGATCCTCGGAGTCTACAACTTTAGATGATACAATCACATGACTATCAAACGTGATTACATTTCAATCTCTTTTTGTATCAAATCATATTCTAAGGAGAAAACTATTTATAAAAGTAGACGATCAAGTACATAAGTACAATGTCATCATTTGTTTCGTATCTTTCCGAACAAAGTTCTTTATTCTAGTATTCTAAAACGATTTTTCTCCTACCTTTTTATTCCCACAGGCTCAAGAAATGTACTGTTTGTTTTTACAACTCACTGGTTAAGGCTTATGTCAAAGTATATATTATTTTTCTTTTATGCTAAAAGTAAAAACTGTATATAAACCGCAATCTTTGTAATATTTCCATTTATATCTAGGTATTTATTGAAGAGTAAGATTTGAGAAGGGAAAGAACGCCATCTTTTGAAATGTTATGTTCACTAAGATGATACTAATAATACCTATTTTTTTTTTGTACAATTTAAAAGGGCCAACAAACTAAGAGCCCACCAGAATAAAATTGGTGACAATCATCAACGATGTCATGGACGTAGACATAGAAAACCCTATGACACCCTTACCTCTCTGGTATAATACACCAATATAGACATATTTTCTAATATTCAATAATATATTCTATTCCTTAAGCATGATTACGTGAGTTTGCTTAGTGGTAGAAATACGGAAGAACATGTAATTATCTTTCCTGATTATAAGATATCATTTAGTCAAATTGTTACTATTATGATGATTGTAACACTGCAAACTATCATGGTTAATTCCGGGTGAATTTTTCACGTGGGCTGAGTAACTTTATTCTCATCTTTTTACCTCCGCTGGAGTCCCATCTATTTTGATAAGTATTTTATAAGTTGGATTGATTTAAATTCATATGTATTCGTATAGTTTAAATTAAACTCAGATATATAAATAGCAATATATAAAAAAAATAATTTCATGGAATAAGAAAATAATTCATTGTTTTCTTCCTTACCAATCCATTAACACTGGGCACTAGTTTTACCTCACTAGCCGTAGAAATTAGTCTACCGTTAAGTTGGTCAAACAATTTTGCGCAGAGCTTTATTTTAATCTATAGTTTAATATTCCAAAACGTATGACCAATTTTAGTTAAGCGCATAATCTTATTCACCGTGACTACGAAATCGACTCAATGAAGCTAGAAAGGGTGATAAAAGAAAAGACTTTGAAGTTAAATTCAAAGCAGATTTGAAGTTTAGGAATCGCATTATCAATATTTGTAAGAAATTATACGTACCTATATATAAATTTGGGATTTATACTCCTTTGGTTATATACGAATTGCGAATACAAAATTGGATCTATTGTAGGCCCGTATTGCGTTTGTCAGAAATAAACCAATATACAACGTAATCAGCTGCAATTGAATTTTTTAACTTAGTTTCTGTTAATTTTCTATTTGTAACAATTTATGTAGGTATATAAAATTTGATAGATCCGGATACAGTTTTAAAATCAGATCGATGCCAGAGGGAGACTTTGTACGAAAGTCGTCTGCTGCGACCTTTATGAGCTTGAGTCGGTTTGAATGGTGGGACGTGGCAGTGAAATTACAGAGTACAGTGTCATAATACCATAGCCCCCAGGAATTT